AGCGCAGGAGGAGAAAGAGGAAGGAGAGCTCAGATGCTCAGCTGTGCCTTGCAATTAAAACCGAAAATAAAAAACTGCCGAGATGAAGCGGACTCGGTTCTCGCCCCAGCCCAGCAATTTCGGCGACATGCCTGTCGCAGGCAGGGGAAGGGGCGCCGGGCCCGGCGCGAGCCCCCGCCCTCGGCCGGGAGGTCTCCACCTACCTGGTCCGGCGCCCGGCCTGCGCGCCGGCCGCGCCCGCGCCTTGCACTGTCCAGATGTCGCGTCGGTTGCGGACAGCGGTTTCTTTTCGTATCGCCGGTTTCCCAAATCTAGAAGCAAAGCCGAGCGGCATTTTCATTCAAAACTGACGTTCAGCTTCTGATTGGCGGACAGAGCGAAGAGATGGCCTCGCTCTTCTTCCTTTCTTTTCCTCTTTTAAAAGATCTTATCGGAGACCTGGAAGACTCCGTCAAGGGACGCGGAGCACACAGGACGGGGGCGAGACCGGACCGCGAGAGGCGCCCGGGCGGGCGGGCGGAGCGCGGATCCCGGTAGTGCCGGGTCAGGTGACGGATGTTGCCAGGGGGCGGGCTGCCAGAGATGCGTTCCGGCGCAGGCCCGGGGGCTGCCACCATGTGGGGCGCCCGCGCTCGCGGGGGGGGCGGGGCGGGGGTGCGAATAAGGCGGGAAGAAGGTCCTAGGCCGGCGAGAGGCGCCCGGGAGCCAAGCGGCCCGGCCCGGCGCACGCCTCCCTGCGCGCGTCTCCCCGGCGCCACACTGGGTTTGACGTCACGGCCCAGCCCCAGAGTCAGGAGCAGAGCGGGGGGAGGGCGCGAGGGGAGGGGAGGGGGAGAGGAGGAGGGCGGCTGTGTCAGGGTTTTGCCTGAATGTGGGATTATGTTGTGTCAATAAGTTTAAGGTGGAGAGCGAGGCTGGGGCGGCGGAGGAGGGAGGAGGAAGGCCTCGGATGTTTGAGGCTCGTTTCCGAAGGTAAGTTACGGCGCGGCTGGGTCGCGATGACAGAAAACTTGCAGATCCTTTATCCGGGGATGGGGTCGATCCCTCCGGAACCAGCTCGCAGCCCCCGGGAGCCCCGCTCGCGGTACGCTGTTATTTGCTGCGATCCGGGTCGCTAGTGAATTAGAGAAATCAAGACGCGAGGTTTCTTCGGCTCCTCCACCTAGTCTCGCTCACTCACCCTCAGAAATGTTCTTATTTTATTTTATTTTTTACAATTATTTTGGGGGGGTGATGGGATGCAACTTCGCTGAGCCCGAACTCGAGTCCTGTAATTTACAGGGATCCCTGAATCCAAGAATCTGGAACACGTTTCTGTGTGAAATATCCGCGATCATTTCTGCTAAATGAGGAAGGTAAAACGAAACGATGCAAAAAGCTAAGACACAACATGTACGGCGAGGGGGGGCAGGGAGAGACAGAGAGAAGCTATTTTTTGCTTTCCTTTCTGTAGAAAGGAAAATAAAGCGTGCAGCCCCCTGCTCCCCCGGTGTGCAGGGGCCAGTCAATATTTTCGCTGGCGGAGGACGAACGGGTCCAGGTGGATCTTGTTGAAAAGTTTCGCGAGGTGGGGTGGAGGGGGGGCGGAGAGGGAGGTGGGTGGAGGTGGTGGGGGATGGGGACGGAGCGAGCTCTGCCTCGGCTAATGGTCATTGGCCTGGGGCTTTGAAACCATTGCCTGTCCTGCTAATGACACGTCCAGTGCTCGTCTCCCCGCCGAGGACGCCGGCTGCCGTTCCCGGGGCGGCGGACGCGGCCCGGGTACTTTCCCCGCGCGGAGAGGGGCGCTCGCGCCGTCCCCCGGGGCTGCCCACTCGCGGCGGGGCCCCCA